CCTCCGCCAGCTAAGATGGCGCGCCTCGATACTGGAGCTGATGATCTCTCTGCATTCAAAGTTGCACAGCCACCGGCCGAGCCGGGGGGCTCGGAGACAGCGGAAAGCCCGCCTAAGCCTTAGGCGCCGAGTCTTCGCGATCCCGAGCTTCCTCTCCGGCTTAACAGGTGGAATTTTGATCGCTCGTCGCAAGCTGACCAAAGTCTTCAGAAAGTTGAGGCCGCGCCCAAGGCGGCGCCCCAGTGGTGCCGAGACTCGGGATCTCCCCAGCCTGCCCAAGGCAGTGCTGGGGCGGACCAGACTGCGAAGGCGGAGAGCTCCGCCGCAAAGGCAGCGGCAGTTGAGACAGAAGCCGAGATTGCCGAGGATGTGAGCTCCGATCGCCACGGAGGCAGTGAGAGGCCGGAGATTCCTGCAGCATCTGTTCCGAAGCAGACGGATGGAGATTCCTCGTCAGAGGAGTCACCGCAACCATGGGGATCCGACGCTGCAACCTTCGTTCTCCGATCTCTCAGAGAAATCTCCATGACGCGCTTCAAAGGCAGGCAAGCACGTAGAGCACTGAGGAAAGAGAGAGATTTCTTTTACCAGTGGCGTCGCACGGTTGCTGACCGGCCGCCAGAGGCCGAATGTCCAGAGGATTTGCTGGAGATTGAAGAGTATATTTGCACAGCAAAGAGGATCTACGAGAAGGCTAAGATAAAGGGGAAACACGAGCCGGGAACATATTCGGAATCATGGAGGAAGTTTGCAACCGTCGTTGTCGAGCAGATCCATAATAAGGTGTCGCCAGAATTTGTTCCTACTCCTGTGATCGCCGCCAAGAGCAAACGTTCAAAGCCTCGCGCTGAGGGCGATCTGTTGCGAGTGGAAGCAAACTTCCTCCTCCCCCTGCGCCACCGCCCGGCCCAGCCGTGACGGCGAGCTTACCTGCGCTTCCGCCTGGCCCAGCCAGAGCGGAGGCCAAACCGGCGCAGGAAGACGAGATGATGGTCGACTCGAGCGCTGCTGCTGCTTCACGCGCTGCGCCTTACGAGGTTGCCGAGTCTTCTCCTACCAAGCCGGGCTCTTCTGATGGGGAGGATGAACCCGCTGCTAAGGCACCGCCGTCAGTTGCCGCTTCAAGTGGACATAACGCGGCGGAGCCTCCCTCTGTGGATCGAACCCCGGGTGCCCCAGGCACGCCGGGTTCCCTTGAGGCCAGTCCAGATCTTACCCAAATCAGTGGCTTCCCATATGAAGCTGATCCTGAGCTCATTCCCATCGAGTAAGAGCATTACCGATCTGGCCCAGCCTCTGCCAACTTCTTCTGCAGAGAAAGGCTGCCACCTGCCCCCCAAGAGCGACAGCGTAAACCGACGGACGCTCCACCCCAAGAGGATGTTCAGGAGATTAATGTCGGGCGCGCTGACCGCTTCAAGGGCGCAGAGCCTTATATTTCGCTGGATGAAAGCACTCGAATTATTCAGCGCACGCCCTCCGATCTAAGGCAGAGGGTTCGAGAGGCCCGCGCTGCTGGTCCAGTGCCCCCGCGGGTCGAGGCCATTCGCAATATATCGAACGGTGCGCTCAAATGCATTGCAGAATTCGTTGAAGATCCCATATTTGCACTATTGAGCGCACTTTCCATAGAAGAGGGCACTTTCGATCAGGTGCGAGAGTTTCTCCGTGCTGAGTTTTACTCCGACGATATACCCAGCGGATTTGATCCTCAATCTTTTAAGTTTTTGACCCCATTGATTTCTGGGGTCACTGATCGCAATAATCCGGCCGCCCTAGGCAGCGCGGATTTTTGGCGACCTCAAAATTGCCGAGTAGACGAGTTCGCTCAACGCGTTGGTGATTGCGCGACGTATCTCGCGAGGCATTGTTCTGATTATGCGAGGTCCTCGGGAGGCCGGGTCTACTTTGGAGACCTGGTTGGGAAGATGACCGAGGATGGATTTGGGTATCAGACATATGCACTTGCTGCACACGGCCTAGCCGCGTTGCAGCCGGGGGCTGTTGAGGTCCTTGGAGTGCCCCCTGACAACAGCGCCAGCATCAAGGAGACGACCGTTTAGAACATGTGGCGTGACTACAAGTCCTGGCCCTCTCAAGGGGCGGAGAGGATGTTCTCTCCCATTCCAGTTTTCTATAGAACATGCCAGGGACATGTCACTTTTGTTGCTGCAATTGAGAGAATGTACGCGCCTCATGACCCTGGCCTAGCCAGGTGTCATGGGCCCCTCCTCCATATCACCGATATGGAGACACTGGTGGAATCCATGGTCGGAGAAGTTAAGTTCCCAACAAGAGACTCGGGGCTTTGCCTCGAGGCGGACTACGACTTGCTGAGGCCTCTCCCGACCAAGAAGGATCCGAGCATGCGAGGCCTAGATCATCTTCCTTCGTGGCTAAGCCAGCGGGGGTATGGCGAGCCTGCTCGTGCGAGGAAGCACGAGGCCATGGGCAGTGACCCGCGGCCAGGAGAGCCACCGTCGATTGGAGCATGGCCCGCAGTGGACGCAGTCCGTCTGTGGGACCCGCTCCCGACTCACAGAGAATCCTGGCCGCTGGTTCTTGTTTTCAATGGCCGGGTGCTCACCGTTTTTTCGTGCCGGATCTGCCAGGACGGGACTCTTGTGTCCCGTGAGGTGCCGAGGTTCTTTGATATCGACAGAGCCGTCACCCTCGCCAAAATTCAGCGATTGGTGGGATCACAAAGACAAGCTCATGTCTTGGTCAATTGTCTTCAATCAGGAGTGGACATCGTACGAAGTAAATTTTGATAACGCCTCGATGCTCGGTTGGATTCATACCGACGAGACTTTGTCTTCGCTCCCAGATCATAGGCCTCCGTTGCCTCCTCCAGGGACAGAAGCTTTTGTTCAGTCTGTTCCCTGGGAGGACGATGGTCGGTTCCTCTGCGCTAACTGGCATTGGGTGCGAACTGACTTTGGCCATTGCCACTCTTGCAGTAATCCCATCAAGTATAAGTACAAGGTTGCCCACGATTATTTGCTTCAGTCGTACAGACTCAAGATCATTTCAACCTCGCTGTGGAACAATGGCATGTTGTTGCACTTTGTCGGCTTTGATAAGCCCCCTCACGAGCGTGATCGTTAGGTTGTTGTGCGGGTAAATAGACAACGGAGAGCTTTGGCTGATGTAATATACACATCAACAACAATCTGAAGTTGGAGCGCAAGTGGGCAACGAACAATCAGTATATTGGCTTGGCTGCTTCGGGTCAAACCTTTGGAAACAGCCGCCCGGGTAATTAGTGTTTCTGCCTGGATTCCTGATCGCGCCGCGGCCCAGCCGCCGGCGCGTCGCGGTCCTTTCTTTCAGTATCTTGAACCTCTGAAGAGGCGATTCATTAAATGGCTCGCGCACTTGGCTGAGAGAGAGAGAGAGAGAGAGGCGACTCACGCTCCAACGACCACAGAGTGGTGGCCCTTATTTTGGGCAACAGATATTGACCAGCATGCGCGCCCCATGTCTTGTCTCATTCTGGCTGCTTTTCAGTGGCCAGAGGAACCCGACGCACGCTTTGCACCCATCGAGGGTTGGTTCGACTGGGAGCGCAACATGAATAATGCGAATATCTTCGCGCCAACGCTTCGGACATTGCAGGGCGCAAAAGAGGGAACAGCACCCTGGCTGCCCGTTGCCCAGGCCAACGAGATGGACGTCTCAGGGCCCAGCCTTCGCGGACGTCCACCAGTTGCTTGGGCAATTTTTTGCGCGGCTTGTCCTCGTCGTGGTTCTCAGTCCGTCAGCAGGCGCAACATAATATGTTCTGAACACCCTCTCGTATCAGTGTGCAAGCATGACAAACCTGCCGCCGGTCCAGCCGTGACGGCAGGCGAGGAGAACGTAGACATGACCGTTGATTTCACCGCAGCCTGCGGGTCCAAGACCGAGCAGATAATTGACGGGAGGATCAATCTTGATGAGCCCAATGGGTATGTGTACTCTCATCGCGACGATAGATCGTTGAGCGTCACGTTGACCGAGGACGGAGCCAAAGATGTGGCGGCTCAATACGTCATGGAATACACCAGCTATCGCCCGGACACAAATGAACCTGACAGGTTACGATTGTCGGGCGAAACAACGCACGATGTTCCAGAAGCCGCGCGGAACACCATTGGATGGAACTGGAAGATTCCTGTTCCAGAACTGGAGTTGGGCCTCCGCATTATTCGCGTGATTGTGATTGTTCGCGAGCTCATTAGTTGCTTCATCGCCGGGGGACATTGCATGGCCTACCCTGGGGCTCACTTTCTTGCCGCCGGCACCGGCGCAGAGTGCGATGTTGACAAGCGTCGAGCGGATGCATGCGCCATTGATTGCCGCATTCGCGCGGCGATTGAGACAGACGACCTCATTGAGGATTGGGCCCGTGACTTGGGCAAACAGGGTCGCACCGATATCCGTCGTCAGGGCATGAAGTTGCAGGAAGATATTTGTTGTCTGCGCCCACTCGTGGAAGCCGCTGAGCTCCAAGACCAAGATGAAGGCCGCTTTCGTGGAGCCTGCGGCAAGTTTGGCATTTTTGTTGTTACTGCCGCGAGAGATATTATTAGATATGATAGAAAGCAAAAAGCGATGAGCGTTCATGAGAGTGGAGGCGCTGATGGGCCCGCCGACGGCCAAGCCGATGCGGAGGGACCTGCTTTGGCGAAAGCGAGGCCCAGAACAGCCGGTCGCCCCGATCCGCCACCTCCTCCACGCAGGCCCGACGTCCAAGACGATCGGGCCAAGGACGAAGTCACTGAATCTCCTTGCTCTGCCAGCGGTCAAACCGCCGCGGCAGGAGACGAGCACTCGTGGTATTCGTCTGACAGGGACACGCGGGATTGGTCGAGGCCTACGCGCGCGCGCGGCGGAGCTATGGATGCTGGGCGCGGGGCTGCCGGCTACGACCTCTCGGTGCGCTACCCGCGCTACGCAAATGATGCACTGGGTGGATGCTGGGTTCACCGGGGCGCGATATCCTGGATGAGCCCCAGGGAGAACCAGTCACGTGCGTGGCACGTTGTGTACCTGAATGACTGCAACTACCGCTTTCCGAGAAAAGGAAAGGGTTCCAAGAACAAGAACAAGGACAAGGACAGCAGGTCAGCGCCCTACGCTGGCCGTGGCAAGGGATACAGATCACGTTCGCCCTATTGGGCCGCGGATCAGACGGGGGGCTCGTCATCTTCACATCCGAGACCTCCGTCTCCGCCATCGAGGGGATACTTCTAGAACAAGAAGTGAGAGCAGGCAGAGCCCGGGCGACCAAGTCGCCGCGGGCTCAAGCGAGCGACAAAGTCGCATCGGCAGAGAGAATTTATTTAACTATTGGTGGGAATCGTTTGGTTTCTTCGGCCCTCAGCTCCCTGGCATCACCGTCGAGCGGTAAAATGTTTTTGGGGTTCGCTCCGGTGGCTGTATATATGTGCAGGCCAGGTGAGCTGTGGCTGGATGGGCCCTACGAAGCCCGCCGCGGGGGGAGTAGATATGCGCCTCTCCGCCTCTTACTGCGCTTGCCTCTCCTGCTGCCTGCCTTGCCACACCTTGACTCTGCGGCACTGTACCGCAGCTATCTGTGCTTACAGGATAGAAAACGAGCGTGCGGGCTTGCACGCGCGCGCCGAGGGGTCGTTCCCTCGTCGTTGTCGTGTCGTCGGCCTGCCGGCCTCCTCACTTCCCATTCCTAGGTACAGTTGCTTAACGGTTACTTTTGGTGTCATCGATGTCTCATCCCGTATCCTCTGCGACTCAGCAGAGTCAACGCGAGACCTTAATTCTTTTGATATCTTACCCCCGATTCTCAGAGGAAAGACTGGAAAAGGAGAAGGAGGAGGAAGAGGAGGAAGAGGAGAAGGAGGACGAAGAGGAGGAGCAGCAGCGGCAGCAGGAAGAGGAGGAGGAGGAGAAGGAGGAGGGAGACGCGAGCTCCACCCCCGCGCGAAGAGGCCAGTTCTCAGCGTGTGGGCGCGAGTGGGTGGAGCGGGGGGAGGGCAGCGCGGGTCGGAGAGGTGAGGTGCCCCAGGGCCGCCCTCTGCCTCTATTATCGCTCCCGCCGCCCAACACTTGTTTTTGGGTTGTCCGCTATTTGAAAGACGCTTCTTGGGCAGATTGTCCTTGCCAACCAAATTTGGCCGGTCCTGAACAAATGGTCGAACATCTTTTCCGGTCCCAACTCGTTCGATCCCATTCTTCGCAGAGCGTCCCGCGCCAGGCTGAGGAAACATTGGGTCCCGATCGCCGGCGCGGGCGCGCTCCTCGCCGTGGTCGTCGTCATCGCCGTCACCGTCAAGGGCGCAGCTGGCACTGCGAACGACGGCCGAGGCTGCCGCTGGCGCAGGGTGGAGCAGCAGCAAAGGGAGGGGGCGAGGACGAGGAGCCAGGATGAGGGCGAGGCCAGGCCAGCAGGAGCCCCGCTGCCCCGATCGGCAGCCAGCGTCAGCAAACTGTGTGTGTGTGGGTGATCGTATGCTCTTCCGCCAGCGAAGTCACTCTGCCTAGTCGCCGACGTACAAGTGTGTGGGTGATCGTCCTCCTTGTCTCATGCTGCCGTGCGGGTGCCGCCCACGGCATGGCGTATCCCGTCCCTGCTATCCATGCCCGGATGTCTGGTAACGCAAGGACCGCAACCTAAGAGAAACTTGAGGGCCCGGCCGCTGCCCGCACTGTCTGTACGCTTACTCCGTCTCGCTGCCGCGCGCGAGGCCACTACCGCCAAGTGTGTGTGTGTGTGTGTGTGTGTGTGTGTGTGTGTGTGTGTGTGCGCGATCAGCGTGTGCAGCTGTCGAGATCTGTGTCGACCAAGGCAGCGCCACCTTGAGTAGAGCCATCTTCGTCGCACGACGGCAGGATGGACGCTGATGGTCTCAGATTCTACATTTCTGCTTCTATCCTATCACTTTGCTGCGCTCCTATGCCAACTCATCTGTGGTGTCGTTTGGCCAGAACTGACGCCAGGGGCCTTTGGAGCCTCCAGAGGTCCCCACATAGTCAAACCACCCATGCACCTCAATCCTCAAGTCTCGATGTTGGGTTCTCTTTCCTCCCTCCTTCCTTGTCTGAGTCAGGAGATGTGCTGCACGAGAAGAGGGTGAGGAGGAGGCGGAGGAGGATGAGCAGCAGCAGGAATAATGATGAAGGAGGAAGGAGGAAGGAGGAATGATGAAGCAGGACATGGTGATGATGATGTTGATGATGATGATGTTGATGATGATGATGATGATGATGATGATGATGATGATGTCGATGATGATGATGCTGATGATGATGATCATGGTGATGATGATGATTACGATGACGATGACGATGATGATGTTGATGATGATGATAATTGTGATTGTGATGATGATGCTGATGATGATGATGATGATGCTGATGATGATGATGATGATGATGATGATGATGATGATGATGATGATGATGATGATGATGATGATGGTGATGGTGATGGTGTGGTGGTGGGGGTGGTGGTGGTGGTGGTGGTGGTGGTTGGTGGTGGTGGTGGTGGTGGTGGTGGTGGGTGGTGGTGATGATGATTGATGATGATGATGATGATGATGATGATGATGATGATGATGATGATGATGATGATGATGATGATGATGATGATGATGATGATGATGGATGATGATGATGATGATGATGATGATGATGATGATGATGATGATGATGATGATGATGATGATGATGATGATGATGATGATGATGATGATGATGAGATGATGATGATGATGATGATGATGATGATGATGATGATGATGATGATGATGATGATGATGATGATGATGATGATGATGATTGATGATTGATGATGATGATGATGATGATGATGATGATGATGATGATGATGATGATGATGATGATGATGATGATGATGATGATGATGATGATGATGATGATGATGATGATGATGATGATGATGATGATGATGATGATGATGATGATGATGATGATGATGATGATGATGATGATGATGATGATGATGATGATGATGATGATGATGATGATGATGATGATGATGATGATGATGATGATGATGATGATGATGATGATGATGATGATGATGATGATGATGATGATGATGATGATGATGATGATGATGATGATGATGATGATGATGATGATGATGATGATGATGATGATGATGATGATGATGATGATGATGATGATGATGATGATGATGATGATGATGATGATGATGATGATGATGATGATGATGATGATGATGATGATGATGATGATGATGATGATGATGATGATGATGATGATGATGATGATGATGATGACGGAGAGGAGGAGGAGGAGGAGGAGGAGGAGGAGGAGGAGGAAGAGGCTAAACGCCGTCCAGGACAGGTGGGCCAGTCGCCTCCTGGACATCGACACGCACATGCCGAGGATCCTCATCTTCCAGGAACTCGGCTTCCCGCAGCGACTCGCCACGCAGACCCTCCGAGCAGCGGCGGCATTGGCAGCCAGGATTGAGTCCACCGCGCCAGGATCCCAGCCCAGCCAGGTTGCGCACATCGCAGCGGCGACGGCAACCCACGTGGATGTGGACGCTGCGCGCCTACCTGGAGGAGTACGCCATCCCCGAGTACTCGGCGTGGTCGCTCCACAGGTACCAGGAGCCCGCGCACGCACCGGCGCAGGCGGGCAGGAAGCGGCGCATCCGCACATACCTCACGGAGGCCGTCGACCCTTGGCTGACAGAGGCTGAGCTGGGATGGCGCACCCGCGAGGCGGCCGCCTACCCACCGCGGAGCGGCGGCACGGCGATCCAGGCGGCGACCACGACATCGGCCCCGTGGTCTGCCATCCGGGCGTGGGCGCAGCTGCGCCTCAAGGGCCGCCTCACCGTGCACACGACCGCCGCCCGAACTACGTGCCCGCGGTGCGGGGAGGTCATCTCCCGCGACGGGCTCCACCCTCTGGAGGGGTGCCGCCACGACGGGCTCCACCCTCTGGAGGGGTGCCGCCACGCCGGCGGCGGCCATCCTCACCGGACTGCGCGCGTGCCTGGACATCGAGGCAGGGGTGGCGGTCGCCGCGAACCTCGCGCGGGAGGCCCACGCCGCGGCGGCAGCCTGTGCGGGCACGGCGTGAGCCGAGGCCGCTGGCGCCGCCTGCCCGCAGCACCGCCACAGCCGGCGCCCCGCCGCCGCCGCTGGGCGCCGCGGCCGGGCCGTCCCGCCGCCGCCGCCGGCTGGCCCGCGCGCTGAGCCTGCGCGCCCGCCGTGAGCGCCCAGTCCGGCGTCGAGGCAAAGTGGCACCCTCGCGGGCGACCCTTCGGCCCTGGCTGAGTGGCAGAGCCACGGAACCCTCATACAATCAATTGTTTTCTGTGTTCGCCTGCCTGCCGGCGTGCACCCAGCAGCTCGACACGCTGGGCCGCGTCAGGGAAAAATAGGAAGAAAATGATGAGGAATAGCAAGACGAGGATAACCAAGAGATAAGGAGGAGGAGGAGGAGGAGGAGGAGGAGGAGGAGGAGGAGGAGGAGGAGGAGGAGGAGGAGGGGGAGGAGGAGGAGGAGGAGGAGGAGGACGAGGAGGAGGAGGAGGACGAGGAGGATGAGCAGGAGCAGGAGCAGGAGCAGGAGCAGGAGCAGTAGGAGGAGGGGGAGCAGGATGAGGAGGAGGAGGAGGAGGAGGAGGAGGAGGAGGAGGAGGAGCAACAGCAGGAGCAAGAGAGGAAGCAGGAGCAGGATTTTTCTGTATTCGCTGAAGGGAACACCGAAGGCATTTGAAAAAGGTGTGGTATACGGACGAGAACTTTGGCTTAGCGTGTCGCTCCGCCTGTTCTTGCCCACCATGCTTCGGCGCGACACGCTGTCCACTTCCCAGTCCACGAGCGTCAACTTCCCGATTCTTCAGAGCCTCCCGTCTCGCGGAGCGGATGGACACGTTATCCGCTCGCATGGTACAGCGTGTCGCCGGGGCCTCCGCCGCGACATGCTTAGCAAAGTACCCCGGCCGTGCGCGATAAGCCGAATTGTCGCAGGAGTCTCACGCTCAGTTATCCGTCGGCTAAGCAGGCCTAGGGCGCATTGCTCTAACTCTGCGACGTCAAAGGCAGCAAAGGCTGGGTTATCGATTGCCGAGAGCCGCATTCGCAGACACCCCAAAAGAGGAGGAGGAAAAGGAAGAGGAGGAGTAGGAGGAGGAGGAGGAGGAGGAGGAGGAGGAGGAGGAGGAGGAGGAGGAGGAGGAGAAGGAAGAATCCCCGCCGTCCCGCGCCATTCTTCCGCCCCTTGCGACCTAACCGGCCTGCGCCCACAGCGCGGCTTGCGGAGGTAAAAGAGGAGGAGGAGGAGGAGGAGGAGGAGGAGGAGGAGGAGGAGGAGGAGGAGGAGGAGGAGGAGGAGGAGGAGGAGGAGGAGCAGGAGGAGGAAAACTCCTTCTTCCTCCTCAGTGAACTTCGCTGCCGCCCCGAATCCTTACCCCAGAGGTCACCGGAGGTCCTTGGGGGTCCCTGGAGGCCTCCAGTGGTCTCCAGAGGCCCGACGAGGGCCAGAAAAGCCGAACACCTGGCCCGTCCACCCTCGAGGATCGAATGCAAAACCTGTGGCCCCGTTATGGGACTGCGCTGGATTGTGCTGTGTCGCGCCAGGGGCCACGTGGGAACGCATCGAGCTCCCCGTCTCCCGCTCCGAGGAAGGGAGCGACGCTCCATCCGCTCGCAAGGGATAGCGCGTCGCCGGGGCCGCCGCCGCGACACGCTGAGCAAAAGTCCCTGAGTCCCTGACCGTAGATTTTGGGCAATCTGGTAGGTTATGCTCCCCAGGTCTTGACCCCTGGAGGTCCCTGGAGGCCCCCGGAGGCCTCCAGAGGCCGAGATGGAGGCCCGGCAGGAGGCAGAGAACGCCGAGATTATCCGCCCTCAGCCCTCGATGGGGTCGGGGGCCTGGAGAGGTAAATTGCTCGAGCCGTAGCTGACGACGCTGGGCCCCAATGTCACCGCATGCTGTCTCGCATCCTCCGCCCCTTGCTTCCACTCGTGCCCGATTCCAGTGACGTAGCTGATCAGGACGGTTTGCGGTAGCTGCGCCGGTGGCTACCCCAGCTGTTACGCTCGGCACCCACGCCGTGTGCTGATATCGGCTTTCTATCTAAGAGCGCACTGCCTGTCGTGCCGCACGCGCCGATCTCAGCAATGCAGCTGAGCGTACTGGCGGCCTGCTCGCACTGGCAGCCGTTACTGCCATTGCTTGTCGTGTCGCACGCGCCGACCCCAGCATGGTGGCTGATGACGCCTGCTGTTTCTCTTGGCTCAACCAGCTCCGCCGCGCCCCTCCAGTCGCGCCTCCCGAGCGCGCGGGGCGGCCAGGGCGGCGCGCAAAACTTACTTTTGGGACTTCCAGCGCTGCCGGAGGCCCTGGGAGCAGAGGGCAGAACACCACAAAACTAGTGCCCTCATTGCCAGCGTCGCTGCCAATGCGAGTTTCTCGCATTGCCAGCCACTGCGTCCACTGCCTGCCTTGTCGCACGCGCTGATCCCATCGTTGCAGCTGAGGGTGTCTACAACCTTCTCGCAATGCCAGCCTCGGCTGCCACTGCTTATCCCTTCGCACACGCCAATCTCAGCATGGGAGCTGGTGACGCCTGATGCCTGCCCGCACTGCCAGCTATCGCCGCCACTGCCTGCCTGGTCGCACTGCCAGCCGCTGATGTCATTGTCTGTCATGTCGTACGCACCGATACCAGGGTTGTAGCTGATGACGTCTTCTGTGGGCCTACACTGTTGGCCATCAAGGGAGCAAGCAACCAGGTCTACGAGCGGGCAAACCACCATTAGACAGTCCTGCGCGGTTGTAGGATTTGTTTATGGGGAAAAATCCGGTGCTCGGGGAGAACCTGTTCGGGGAGAACCCCAACTCGTAGTCTGTACATGGGGGATGACTAGGAGGGCATGCCCTGTCCATCAGCGCTTTCATTCTCCCCAAGCGAGCTCACTACCACCCCAGGTCGGACGACCTCATGCACTGGGAAGCTGGCTGCTAAAGCGCGCATGCTTGCGGTACTTACCCTGTCCCGCAGCAAGCCTTCCAATTGGCCCCTTACCCTCAGAAGGAAGATGAAGATTTTTCTCTGATTCCCCTCCAGGTCTCCAGGGCTCTACCCCCACGACCTCGGACGCGCCAGAGGTCTCGGCGCCGAACTCGCCGCCGTCCCTGCGGTCGCAGGCGCCCGCGCCCGCGGACACGCAGGCCAGGCGGGAAGGAGGGCTGAGAATGAAGATGAAGCTTACATTGTGCCCGTTTCTTTATTGCTTGGGGCATGTCGGGCGTCATGGCCCCCGCTCCCCCCCCCCCTGTGACGTAACGCTCCCGCCCCCAGTGCGCTCCGGGCACTGCCGCCGTGCGCGTTGGGATCCGCGTAGGTGTCCGCATAGGAATCCGCATAGAAGTTTGGTCCGCAGTCGTCGTCGTTGTCGTCGTCGTCGTCGTCGTCATCGTTCGTGGCTCGTCGCTCGTCGCTCATCGTCGTCGTGCGCGCGGACACGGCTGGAGCCTGTTTTTTTGTTAGCCTGTTTTTTTTTTCCGGGCCGATGACGGCAATCATCTGGGGGGGGGAGGGGGTTGATGACGTCACGTTTCGCGCCGGCGGCGTCTTGGAATGCCTAGGAATGACGGAGGACGGGCAGCACCAGCATGTAGGTGGCGATCTGCACCGCAACGCCTGTGTACACCACAGTGCTTGCGTGCACCACAGCGTCTGTGTACACCACACCGCCTATGCACATTACAGCAGCCGCGTGCAACACAGCGTCAGCTTGTGCCACCGTGCCTGCGGGCACAACATCTGTTGTGTACACCACAGCGCCTGCGTACACCACATCAGCCGTGTGCAACACATCACCAGTGTACATCACAATGCCTGCGTGCATTGCAGTGCCTGTGTGCACCACGGCGCCTGTGTGCACCACAGCAACCGTGTGCAACACAGCACCACTGTTGCATATAGAATGTTAGAAGGAATCCTTATGAGAAAATGGAGCGCTTGCGGATTCCACAGAAAACAATCTAATGGAATCCTTCTGGACAGAGGAGCGCCGCTGGAATCTACGAGTCCTCCCGAGTCCGCCCGCATCACCCTAACTCCTCCCGTCTGCGTCCAGGAGGCTCCAACTAAATTGGCCGTGCGAAAACCAAGTGGACCGATTCAATAGACCATTATGCGGTGCACGCTGGGATGCGCACGTGCGCTGTAGCGCCAACCCGCGCGACAGGGAGTAAGGAGGAGGAGGAGGAGAAGTTGGTGAAGGGGGAGGAGGAGAAGGGAGGAGGGAAGAACGTCGCATTCGATTATGAGCACCTTCCTGCACGCAGGCACTGTGGTGTACACTAGCGCTACGTTGCACGCGGATGCTGTGGTGTAGACAGGCGCTGTGGCGTGCACGGGCGCTGCGGTGCACGCAACCATCGTGGTGTACACAGGCGCTGTGTTGCACATGGGTGTTGCGGTGCGGTGTACACATGTACACCGGCGCTGTACTGTACGCAAGCATTGCGGTGTACACAGGCGTTGCGTTGCACACGGTTGGTGCGGTGTACGCAGGCGCTGTGGTGTACACGCGCGCTGTGCTGCACGCGAGCGTTGTGGTGTACACAGGCGCAGTGGGGCATATCGCCACCTACATGCTGCTCGCGTCGTCGTCGTCGTCGTCGCTCGTCGCTCGTCGCGTCGTGCGCGCCGGCGCAACTGTGGTGCCGGAGCCACACGGCGGGGGGGGCCGTTACGTCATACCCCCCCCGGCCCCCCCCCCCCCAATGACGCCCGTCATCGCCGAACACAAAGAAACGCGCTCGTATTGCCTCGTATTCCACCTCGACCTCCACCTGCTCGACCTCCTCCTCCTCCTCTTCCTCCTCCTCCTCATTATAATCCTCCATTTCTCCCTCCTTCTGCCCCTCCTCTCGATCTTGCGGCCGCTGTTGCTGCTCCTCCTCTTCCTCTTCCATCTCCTTCTCCTCCGCCTCCCCTCTCCCTCCCTCCCTCCCTCCCTCCCATCCCTCCTTACCTCCCTCCCTCCCAGCTTGCCGCTCAGGCTAAAGGGCCCCAGGCAGGCTGGTAGACGAAGACGAGGGCAAATTCATCTCATATGCTGTGCTCCTTCCTCCCTCTCTCCCCCCGTCCTTCCCTCCTGTCCATTCTCTCTCCGTCTGAGGGCGTTCTGCTGTTCGGGGACCGTCGTCGCCGCAGCCAGACTCGCCCTGGGATCCTGGTCAGAACGCGCTCCATGGACAGGTCTGGGAAGCGATTTTGACGGGAGGGATGGGGGAGGGGTAGTCAGAGGAGGTGGAAGAGTTGGTTTGGGCGTGGGCTAGAGCCAAGCGCTAGCTCCCAGAGCGCACGTGGCACCGTGCGGGTACCGAACGAGGGCCCGAAAAGACGAAGGCGAGGGCCACAGAGAGATCGACCACGGAAACGGATGGACCGACCGAGGACAGAAACAGTGCCCGAAATCAACGAGGGGACAACGCAACCACGCGCCAACAACACGGAGCATGCAGGCAAACAAGCAAGACAGCCAAGCTGCCGCTGGTACCCTTTCTCAAACGGGTTTGAACATCCAAGTCTTGGTGGCAGCTCATGCTGCCAGGCCTGTCTTTCTTTGCTCCTTCCACCATGTATTAGTAGTAGTAGTAGTAGTAGTAGCAGCAGCAGCAGCAGCCGCAGTAGTAGTAGTAGTAGTAGTAGTAGTAGTAGTAGTAGTAGTAGTAGTCGAAGTAGTAGTAGTAGTAGTAGTAGTAGTAGTAGTAGTAGTAGTAGTAGTAGGAGTAGTAGTAGTAGTAGTAGTAGTAGTAGCAGCAGCCATAGTAGTATAGTAGTAATAATAGTAGTAGAGTATTAAGTAGCAGCGCCCATAGTAGTAGTAGTAGTAGTGGTAGTAGTAGTAGTAGTAGTAGTAGTCGTAGTAGTATCGTAGTAGTAGTAGTAGTCGTAGTAGTAGTAGTAGTAGTAGTAGTAGTAGTAGTAGTAGTAGTAGTACGTAGTACGTAGTACGTAGTACGTAGTACGTAGTAAGTAGTACGTAGTAAGTAATAGTAGTAGTAGTAATAGTAGTA